TGCGGCGGCGGCCGCGCTGAGTCCCGACCACCGGGAGCGCGCTGGGCCGAAGTGGCCCGCGCCGCGGCCGCTTGGCGACATGTCGGCGGTCAAGGAAAACCCGTGCAGGAAATTTCAGGCCAACATCTTCAACAAGAGCAAGTGTCAGAACTGCTTCAAGCCCCGCGAGTCGCATCTGCTCAACGACGAGGACCTGACGCAGGTGAGCTGCCGCGGGGTGCGGAGCTGGGAGTCCTGCCTACGAGTCGGGCGCGGAGCCTGCGAAGGCCAAGAAAAAATAAAAATGGAGCAGGCAAAAAATGCGTGAGAGTTGGGGGATGGGGTTGGAATGGGGGCGGGAAGAGTATCGATAGAGCCGGGACAAAGGGAAAATCCTCAAGTATGCCGAAAAATAACATCCTTTCCCGTTCCCATAGCTCTGCCGTGTGATTCATGCTTTTTTGGTGACTCAAAAAATGTTTGGTTTCCCTGGTTAGGAACAAAGTGGGGCTTGCTTGATGCTTGTCAGGATTCTCCTACCCAACCCCAAGACTCTTGTCCGTGAGGCTGGTCTCAGACTTGGCCACCAGACAGACTGTCCCAGGAATTGGCTTGTCTGCGTGGGCCACCAGCTTCCATCTTGTGGAACAGAGCCTGCCCTCCTAAGTCACTGTCACCATCAGCGCTTGGAGAGAAGGTGGGGTGTCTCCAAATGGGGATGGGTGGGTCTTGCTCTTGAACTGAAGGTAGGGGTAGCTTTTGGTGAGGGGTAGGGGCTTCCCTTCCTGTTTCTGCTCTCAGGCTCAGAAGTCCGAGAAGATTTGTGCATTCTGGGGAAAGTTGAATCCCTCCTCTTTCTGTCCTTATCTGTTGGTCGGGATTTTGGGTCAGGTTAGTAGTAGCTCTGTCTTCCCCGCGTCAAAGTCACAGACATGAAAAACACACTTCTAGGGCTCCATCCCTGAGTAGTGTAGGAGTTGGGCGATTTGTGTTGGTACAGGTCTCCAATTTGGGCGACAGGCCCTGTTGGCCCTTGGGAACTAGTAGCTCTCAGACTTCTGGTGTTGAAGATTCCTGGCCTTATTTGCACCACTTTGGGAAGGCCCTGTGCATCCTGCTTACCTTTCCCCCTACTCTTTAGCTGCCTCTTGGCACCTGCTTGCCCTCTGCTTGCTGAATGCCAGCGGAGTTCCCCATGCATTCCAGCCCAGTGCCACCTAGTTGTAGCCCTTCCTTTTTGGGAAGAGCTGTTTAGACTGAAAACATGGCTTTGAAGTGCCTGGTTTGACTGTTTTTAATGCCTTTATGGGCAAGCAAGGTTTGACTTGTTTTATGGGGCAAACCAGAGTCTGGTGGTAGGGCAAGGGTTATGGCATCTTTCTCTGAGGTCAGATTTTCAATAGCCAGGAAGTAATGAGGAAGCTTAACCAGATTCTCCAGGTCTCAATCATTTGTGAGGACACCCAAGGCCTTAGAGACTAGTGTGCTTGGGAAGGGCAGAACTGAAGAGAGAAATTGCGATTCCCCTTTTCATCTGAACTCTGTTCTGAGAAGCAGTTTATGGGATTTATGAGGTGACTGCTTCTGGTCTTGGTGTGACTTTCTGAAGTCTGTCTGACCTTGAAGAAGTCTCCTACCTCTGTGTGTTTTAATTTCCTTATCTGTAAACTGGTAATAGAGATTACTGGCTTACTTCTCCCACAGAACTATTATGAAAAGCAAGAAATAGATTTTAAGCTTTCCCTTTTATAATTTCACAAACCGGAAAACCACCATTGAACAGTCAACTCTGATTTAAGAAGTTTCAGGACTTGGCAAAGGCTGTTTTGAGAGAGGTTTGTAAGTTTCCAGGTTATTTGAAGCAACCACACAAACTGGTAATTAGATATTTATGCTACACAGAGCCTTTTTCAGATTCTTAAATTTAGATGAATGAGTGGAATTTAACTGAGTCTAGAATATTAAAATAAAAAATCTGTTGATTATTAATTAAACTCAAGGGATGAGACAAATTGAATGTATTGGACTCTTACGTTATTTTCAAAGTAGAATTCTAGGTTTTGAAACAGGCCTGAGACCTCCAGGGCACAACTGGAATAGTAGTTCCTAAAATAATGAGTAGGGCTATTTGTATGGGGAAAGATTAGCCCAGTCTTCTACCTCCTGGGATCTTTCAGGAAGAAACTGCTTTTGAAATGAGAGCAGGGAGACTAGAGGCTCCTGCCAGCAGCATTTGTCGTTGCCCGGTATCCGGTTCTCCCAGAGCCTTTTGCTCTCCTTATGGCTCCATTGGAAAACCTCAGCCAATTGGTTCCTGTCAGCCTCCCCCCAACCCCCTGCTTCCTGCTGCCCCTCCCACCCAGAGCTTATTTTAGACTGTCCAAGCTGGAAGATACATCAGCCATCATCAAAGCCACCCCCTCTGTAATAGTTGAGGATGTGAGTCTAGGGAGGCGGGGACAGCTTCTGCTCTCAAGGATGTCATCTTCCCAGGAGCACACATTCCTTCCAGTCTTCTGATTTAAGCTTTATTTCCTCAGCTGTTGGTTTTGTTTATTTGTTTTCCCCTAGAGAGGTAGGGAACTTCTTCCAGGCCTGCCTATGTTGTGGCATCAGACCTGGGAAGCACTTGGAGGTCAGTTAAACTAGTGCGTCCTTTCGCTGCAGAAAAGCTGGTGCTCTGAAGGGAAAGAGCTGTGGGAGCATAGCATGGATTCTTAAGTGCCTTCTTTGTCCCCTTCTCTTAAGGGTCTACAGCAGCCACCTCATGAGCACATCAGGGCAGTTGAATTTCAGAAAGTGCTCAATAGTGTTGTTTGGGGCCAAGGAGTCCTGCTTTCCCTGCCCTGGAATTCAGACTGACTTGTGATATGTTAACCCAGATGATGCTGCGCTTGCTCAGCCCCTATTCTCAGGGTGACATTTTTCTTCAAGCCTCTTGTGCATTTCTCTGTATATTTGTGGACTGAAATAATATTTAAACCTTTAAAAAAATTAACACTTATTTATGGTGTGGTACGGGAATCTCTTTGCCACAATGTACCACCTGTGAGTCAGTTTTGTCCTTTTATCATGACTCTAGGGATCAGACTCAGGTCATTAGACTTGGCAACAAGTGTCTACCTGCTGAGCCATCTTATCTGCCCTCATTCAGCCTTGTTAAGCCTGAGCTCTGTTTGTATTTGCTCTGCTGTGCACTTCTTTCTGCTTGACAATACTTAGTGCTCCTTTTCATGTTGTTACAACTAAAACAAAATTGTTTTCCATATGGGCCCATTTGGGATGGACTGTAATTTAACCATTCCCTCAGTGATGAACACTCAAGCTGCTATCAGTAGTGAATATAGGGCTAGCAAGATGGCTCTGCAGGTGAGAGTGCTTGCTGTGCAAGCCCAAGCCTAGTAACCTGAGGTCTTTCTTCTGAACCCACAGAAAGGTAGAAGGAGAAATCAGGTCCACAGAATTGTTCTGTGACTTTCATATGTGTGCTGTGGAATGTGTATGCCCCCACACATTTCATATATACATTTATATATGTATACAACACACTAATTTTTGACAATTAAATGTCTATTTATTTATTTATTTATTTATTGGTTTTTCGAGACAGGGTTTCGCTGTAGTTTTAGAGCCAGTCCTGAAACTAGCTCTTGTAGACCAGGCTGGCCTCGAACTCACAGAGATCCACCTGCCTCTGCCTTCCAAGTGCTGGGGTTAAAGGCATGCGCCACCACCACCACGACTAAATGTCATTTTAAAAGACTTATCTCTGTTAAATTTAATTATGTGTAGGAACCTGTGTGTGTGTGTGTGTGTGTGTGTGTGTGTGTGTGTGTGTGTAGGCCTCAATATGTAGATATGAATATGGAAGCCAAAGGTGTTGAATCCCTTGGAGCTGATTTAACCGACAGTTGTCAGCTACCTGTTGTGGGTGCTGGGAACTGAACCCTGGTCCTCTGGGAGAGCAACAATTGCTCTTAACCACTGAGCCACCTCTCCAGCCCAGTGTGCCTGTCTAACTTTTGGTTGGGTGTGTGCATGCAGGAATGCAAATATTTCTCTGGGGCAGATACCTAAAAATAGAATGGTTGGGTTAACATCAAGTTCACTAAATTTCCAAAACAATGTCATAACATTTTCAGAAATGGATGTTACCAAATGATTTAATTTTTGATGAGTTTCCTATTGCTGTTTAAGTTAAACGCCCTTTTAAAGATTTATTTTTATTATTTTTAATTGCGTGTTTGTATGTGTGTCTGCACGTGGATACGTGCATGTGAATACAGGTTTGATGGAATCTTACATAGCCCAAGCTGTCCTTGAACTTGCTTTGGAGCTGTGGCATACCTTTTGCTGATCTTCCTATCTCCACCTCGAAACACTGGGATTAAATACAGGTCTATAGTACCATAATGGCTCTTTTTTTTGTAATATTTACTGAGTTATTTTTATTTTTTCTGTGTATTATTTGCATTGCATTGTTTGCTCATTTTCCCACTAGATTTCCATCCCCTGGTGATTATAGTTTTTTGTATATACTTTTGGTCAGGATCTACAAACCTTGTATAGAGGGCCTAGTAGTAAATATTTAGCTTTTGTGGGCCAGATAGACTCTGAAAATTATGTAACTGTTACCATGGTCCATAATGAGCTATAGATAATACATGAGCCCAATGGATGGGGTTACGTTCCAGTAAAACTTTATTAGCAAAAACAGGCAGCTGGCAGGATTGACCTGGGAGCTGTAGTTTGCCTCTCCCCCCATACATGGTGTGTATTCTGTTTTCAAGAGTCATTTGTCTTTTTATGGCTATTTTTTATATAGTAGTTTTAAAATGAATGCAGTTCGGTCTGGGGCTACAGCTCATGATAGAACACATGCTTAGCATGCTTAAAGTCCCTGGGTTTAATTCCCAGAACCAATATAATAAAGTACAATGAATTCAGTTAAATCTGTTTTCTTTCTCATTTGTAATTTTAAAATTACATATATTTCGTGTGTATACATGTGTGTGTGGAGATCAGAGATCTCTCCTTACCACTATGCAGGTCCTAGAGATCCAGTTTAGATATCAAACTCATTGGCAAACACCTTTACTCACTGGGCCATCTCTTCGGCCCTCGTCTCCCCAAGTCTCTAATATTATTAATTGGTTTACAGTTATTTTTATGCTTAGCTTTTCAAATTTATCAGACTTCTTTTTCGGAAAATCATTAACTAAA